ATGGCTGATTCACTGCTCTAACACAGAATATTCAATTGCTGGCTATCTCTCGATACTCAGCTGATTCATTGCATGATTAAATTGAGGTCCAAGCCAATGTCAGCTTTCTGACAAGGCTCTTCCCTAAATCACTGTGCCTGGAACCCTTTAGCTGTGGAAATGGATTGCCCTAAACTCTGACACAGTTGCCTCTGCTGCCTGGTTTTCAGCTCTGCTGCCTGACTCTCAATGTCCTGTTGTTTGCATTGCCAGCCCCAGAAATTCCACCCTGCAGGATATAAATCTGGATATATTATGGTATCCATGTGAGGACACCAATCCATCCATAGGAATCCCTCTGAACTCCCAATATGTCATTCCAGGGGGAGGATGCTCCTGCTCTCTGTTGTCACAGGATTTCTCAGGCCCTGGTGGAGGTGTAGAGCTGAAAATCAGCTCCAGTGGCAAGACATGATCTCCACATCAGGCTCATCAAACTCCTCCTATGACCACACACGCGGAGATTTCCTTCAAAATCTGCAGAACATTTGCAATGCTGAGCTCTCAGCCTGTGGTTTGTGTCCTTCCACAAGCACCATTCCACTGCAAAGTCCATCTGGAACCATTTGGAAGAAAAATTCCATTTATAAAATAAGAGCCTATTTAATGTGATGTTAACTAATATTTAACAGCTAATCTTAACTAGTTACCATGTCACGAAGTTTCTACCCCAGTAAAATGGAGCTGCCATGGGCAGSAAGGTACAGGGGAGTTTTGTTATCCAAGGTGGTTTTCTGAGTGCTTGGGGATTTTAGAGGCAGCTGGGAGTTAATTCTCAGCCTACCTCAGCCAAAACACACAGGCCAGGTACTCCTTAAATACATATTTTACATGCTTAGACTTATTAAAAGAAACAGAAATTTCAGCCTGTAAAACTATATGCCCGTGTAGAAAGCTACTCATAAAATCATAAAAGAATGATCTGTTCTTGCAGTGTCTTTAGGTAATTTTGGAATCTGTGCCAAAAAAAGAAAAGGGTTTTGCATAGAATCCCATGAAATTCAAGTCATGGTTTGTCATTGTWATAATTTCTGTCTGGCTTCGACAGAATATTCCTGAACAAT